ACCATAAGAAATTTATAGTCAAGTTTAAAACTATTCCTAAATTTCATCAAGTGAGAAGAATAGCACACTCATGTGATAAAAATTGTGAAAATTAATAAAGTTATTAACTTTTTTTTCCTCATATAGATGTCCTTTTATTTTAAAAAAATCTTATAAATTTTATTTAAAATATAGTCAGGCATTAAATGTAAATAAAATATTGGTTCGTCATATTATGAGGGGCTAGTTGTAACACCCCTCTAAATAAAGACTAGGATTAATTAAAATTAATTCAAAATTTATGCAACTCTAAAACTAAACACAAAATTAAGACCAAATTAAGATCTTGTCCTAAGAAAATCCATTTACAATATCAGACTAAAATAGTGCATCACAGAAGAGCTGGCTTCTTTTGCAATGAATAAATCTACTATCGACAAAGCCTATTGGACATACTAAAGGATAACTCCACAGACCAATAAAAGCATATTAGAGGAGTATCACAATTTTAGTGATTTATAACAGACATAGAAAGAACACTTGGCCAAAAATCACATGCGTAAGAGTATAAATAAATGACCATATATTTAGGTCAAAAAAGTCTCACCATCATGCACAGAAAGAACGAGCTATAACTCTCATTTAAAAAATGTTAGAATGAGGAGAGTAAAATATGAAATTTAAGTAACCAGAGAATAATTTTAATTTAAATAAGCATACCAAGATATAATATAATTTATTAGGAGGGATGCATGCTACCAAGGATACCATATATGAAAAATAATTTCAAATCTGGTTCTCAATTTTTAACAGTTGAGCAATACCTTCAAAAAGGAGTTTCTAGGCTTTATCCATTCATAATTCAATGTATAATCAAATTGTATGATTTACATCAATTTTCATCCCTGTTTCAACACCCTTCTTCCATAACTCATTGGTTATAACTTAGAGTGTCTCCATGACAAACCTCTTCATACAGTCATTGGCTAGGGGTTCTTTGCATTCTAGAGGAGAGTCATGGAATTGTATCCACCTTCTATAGTTTAGCCATTGTGATTTAGTAAATACTCTTACCTATTTTCTCTTTTCACTTTCAAAGCCGAAGACAATAGATAAGGAATGATATGTCTTATATGCTAGCTATCCCCTTGCCCTTCTTGGCCATAAGAATGTATATTTTAGGAACTAGCATTTACCATGTGGTAATAAATGATCATCAATAACCATCAACTCGCAATAGTCACATCCCAATTCCATAATAATAATAATAATAATAATAATAATAATAATAATAATAATAATAATAATAATAATAATAATAATAATAATAATAATAATACAGGAACACAATACACCATCAACTATAATCAAAATTTATCATTAATAACAAAAGGACAAAATCCATCATCAATTATATAATAGGGGGATAAGACACTTCCTAATACACACACATCACAAATACTGGGTATGATGTATAAAATCAATTTAAAATATAATTCTCATATTCAATACCAATAGGGCAAAATAAGCTACTTTCTTAGTTAGTCTTTGAATCCAAACAACTTAATACATTAATTTATATTTCTTAAAATTATTCTAAAATGCCAAAACAATATTTTCTTTAGGTATTGTTTTCCAAACTTTTAAAATCATTTTTTAAATCCAATATTCCAACATTAACATCAATATATATGTGTATATGTGTATGTATATATGTATGTACATGTATAAAATTCAAAAACCATTTCTTTAAACCCATATTCATACCATTATTGAAAACTCATATGAACTCATTATTAATAGTTTTATACAATAAAAAGAGGTATTATAATCAATAAATATCAATGGAAACTCACGCATGTAAAAAATATCTATTGCATGTACATGTTACAACAAGAATTAAACTTCAATCACCTCAACCTTTCAAGTTAGAAGAGCAATAAGGCCAGCCAAAACCACCTCACATGATCAAACAACCCACACTTTGATCCATAGGAACCCACCTACTCAAAAACTACAATGAAGCCTATAAGGCTTAGAACAACAATCAGACCATAAAGTACACATCATCACAACTAATAATATTCTTCTAAGTATCTCAACTATCAATTTTTATCTTGTCAACACAAATGATTAATTCTCACACCAATTTCCATAATATAAATTAATTTCATTAATTATTTCCAAATATGTCCTTTTAGAATAGAAATCTTGAGTTCAAAATGATAAATCATATCACTTTTAAATTCAATGAAATTTTAAACACATAATCTTTATTACCTAAAGTTTTTGGTTGAATAAATTCTTTGATAAAACTATCATCCAATTAGCCAAAGCCAAAAATCCTAAGAAAATTTAGAATAAATACACTAAAAATCTAAAATTTAATATAACCTCCAATCCAATCACAATTTCACATTCCAATAGGCATAATTAAGTTATCTTAATCCAATAACCTCATTCTTCAACCATCAATTCATCAAAAATTTAAATTTTATCTTCTAAATAGCATAGGTTTTCTCCAAACAAACGTAATATTCAAAAGCCACCATCTATAATTCCAAACAAGGTTAGAGAAAGCTTAAACTTGCCTCTTCGAACTAAAAAATTTCCTTAATCAGTACAAGATTCAGACCCTTAGTTTCCAATAATTAAAACCTCGATAAATTTCAAAATTTTTACTAGTTAAATAGAAGAGGAGGAGGAGGAGCCAAAGACACATCTCAAATCAACATTTGGAGGTTCAAACCTCTTAAATTTTTGGCCAAAACCCCTCAAATAGAGGAGGAGGAGGAGGAGGAACCAAAGCCCAAAAGTTGCTATCGAATTTTTCAAACCAAAAACCTCATTTATAATTTGATTGTTGAGTTTTAAAATGATTATCTGTTTTCTGTCCACTCATGATCAAACACTTCACAATTTAATCCACCTACAATTGAACTTCACATTTTGATCAGTCAACATGAGGCTAGCATCCTTGCTTGGTAAACCCCAAAACAAACTTCATCTACAATTAGACAAGGGTAAATGCTCCAATTTTGACCAAAACTTACCCTATAACTAACAAAAGTGAGAGATATAATCCTTAGATCATCAATTAATCGCATTATAAACAACCTAAATGTTACTGCCATATATTTTTGCCAAAACATCCTGATTTCAATAGAAAAAGACAACTTAAACTTTTGATCAATACTTAAGCTAAGATGTAAAACATTGGGGTGTTACACTAGTTCTTTTTATTGGGCCCATATCAATTGGCTAAATATTGATTCACTAAGTGTATAGAATTTAACTGACAAATTATAATTTGACAAAAAAAATTGATAAATTATAATATTGCATAGTTTAATAGTATGAGTCGAGAGCTAAATGTACGAAAGAAGAGACGAGCTATGATTACTTAATAAAAACAAAAGGATGACATGTAATAATGATATCTAATTTGATTTGATCTCAAATCGATGGGATACCCCAGTTCATTAATTATTAATTAATATTAATAGAATTAAAAAAATAAAAGAGGGCAGTATTCATCATGATGAATGCCAAAAGAAGTGAAATCATTCTCCGAATGGACCCCAAATAAAAAGTAGCCCCTCGCATGAATGATTTGACCCTCAAGGCCGTAACACCGTTTATTTATTGGTCACTCAATTTTTTCATCAACAAACTTTCATGTGCTTCATGTTCGGTGGTAATTAAAGCCCATAGTCTATTTCTCCAATTTAGCCATATATTTAATAATGCCACAACTACTTGTAGTAGCTTCTTCCTTTTGAAATGTTCTCCGACTGTGACATCCCCACATTTTCAAACTCCTTGTATTTCAATTTCTTCTGTCAGCCTCCTAACCCATCCTCATCTCTATACCGTTGTGATATTTTGTAGGTGAATGGATATATTAAAATATAAAACATTTTTGAATAAAACTAAATTCCAATACTACTCCTCATTATTTCACTTCTTCAATAAATTTTACAATTCTCAAAACGTTTAATTAACACTTAACTTTTATTATACCCTCTTTAAATCATTTTTAAATAGAATAATAAATGAAGTAAATACATAGTTAAAAAAATTATAAAAACTATCTTAAGGTATAATGATAATTGAAAATATTCTATACTTTGAAAAAAAGTAATCCGCTTCGCTGGCATGCGCTCTACTGTAATTTCACAAGTCTTCACTACGGAATTTGCACGCTGTATGAATAGTAGGAGCATGTACTATTAATATTAAAATAAGATAGTGTTCTTGTTCTGCAATAAAAGTATCAAAATGCCCCTCGAATACCTTTACAAGACATATTTTAAGAAATTTATTAATTTTTTTATAAATTATAATATAATTTTTAAGTAATATTTAATTTTTTTTAAATTATTCTTTGTGAGGGAGAGAAAGTAATATAACACTATTTTTAAATTTATTATATAAAGATATATTTAAAACTTTACATACTTTTACTCTTTATATTATTTTACATTAATATTAATGAGATTAATAAAAATGACTTATAAAGAGGTTAATGAGTAATATATTGTTATCATAAAAGAACATGATCTCATTGTCAACATCTAACTTGAAGTATTTGTTGGGAAAATAATTGAATCGATTATATAATAGAATTATTTATTAATTTTTAGTTTTTGATGTGAATTATTATTTCTAGAATAGCAATTGAAAGTTATATTTATTCTATATTTTAAAAAAAAAACATTAAAATTAAATCAAATGCACTGCTCCACAGGATCCAAGTTATTATGGTATATTTTTGCGGCCAATCGGTTATTATTATTATTATTATTTCAATTTCTCTTCGATTTGCATTTAAAAAAAAATACAAAAACTCGTTTCTTGACTATATACCAACGGCACTCTAGACGTTAACGAACTTCTTTTTTGGAGGCGAAAGGTGAAAGCACTATTCTTAAGTGGGGTCCACTCTGGCAGCGGTTCAGAAAAACCAGTGTAAGGAGAAATTATGATCCGAGAAGCACGGGAATATACCTCTCTTCGGGGACAGTTTTTGCCATAGCCACCATCGTCGAGCAGGATTCGTTTCCTCTATTCCCAATACACAGAGTGGGAAAGCCCGATAAGAGTGAGAAAGGAAGGAAAGCGACTCGGCTAGGGCGGGAGAAACGACGGCGTTTCCCACGTCTCCTTCTCTTGGAGGTACCACTTGCGAGGTACAGGTAAATGAAGCTGTCCGGAGAAAGTATGGCGTCCGACGAAGGCACTAGTGACTGCGACGGTGGTCGGACGGTCGTGGTCGGGGTGAAGTTGGATCCTCGGAGCAGGGAATTGCTTACATGGGCCCTCGTCAAAGTGGCGGAGCCTGGTGACCATGTCATTGCGCTTCACGTTATCGGCAGTATGCCTGGTCTCTATTTCTCTCTCACCTTCGATTTTGCTTTGGTTTTGGTCTATATTTAATCTGATTGTTTTGGTGCAGCGGGTACGGGATCGCTCATCTCTCTTGTAAATACTTTTGATTCTGTTCTTGCCGTTTACGAAGGTTTCTGCAACTTGAAGCAGGTTCGGTACTGCTCTCACACTCTCATTATTTGTTGGTTTAACCGTTTCGTTACATATTTTAATCGTTTGCTTGGATTCTGGCGAAATGCGAGGTTTCTCGAAATTAGTCTCGGGTGATTATTAGAATTCTAGATTCTAAATTGTTAGGTGAATGACATTGTGGATATCTTTTTGCAACTAAAAATCCTTTTATACATTTTTTTTAATTGTGAATTTTGAGCCTCAAGTCCGCTGAACATTCCCCAGGTTGGTCTCAAGCTGAAAGTATGTAGAGGTGAGTCATCTCGGAAACTTCTTGTACGGGAGGCGAAGTCGCTCGGTGCATCAACTGTAATTTTGGGGACTTCTAAAACGCATCATACAATCCGGTCATCGGCATCCGTTGCCAAGTATTGTGCAAAAAAACTGCCCAAATATATCTCTGTCTTTGCTGTTGACAATGGCAAAATTGCGTTCCACAGAGAGGCTACGAAAATACGTGCTATTCAAGGTCGTACCTGTATTTCTGTATAATCACTCTGACATTTTTAATTCTTTGTTTTCAAGAGAAATACTATTGTCAATTCAACGTGGTCGATATATAGTGCTATGTTCTCTATTGTAAACTGTGATTAGTCAATCAGAAAAAAATGTGAATTAATACAACTATTTATTTTAATAGAACTGAATGAAGGCCCGGCTTTATTACATAAATCTTTCAAGCCTTGTACAAAGACAAATCCCAGGAACTGTGAAAGTTGTGCGAGGGTGTTGGCACTTCCAGAGAGTTCTGCAACTGGAGCTTTGCCTGATGATCAGGAAAAGAATGATTCACTAGCTTTAGTACCGGTCCAGAAAACTGGTGGTCCTTGGTATGCAACTGTGGTTCAGGAATCAAACCAGTCTAAACATGGTTGGTCTGTCCTTCGCCAGGTATTTCTGCCCAAAAAGCATATACAGAAATCCTATGTGAGCAATCCATATGTTTTTCAACGGGTTGTTAAACAGCCCAGCTGGCATTCATCAGCTGTAGTCCATCCAGATCTTAAACAAATTAATATTGACAAAAATGACATTACTACCCTTGATGGGCAGAGCGGTGCCATTGTGCCATTCAGATCTGCTGCTAACTCTGGCTTGAGCAACTTTCATGAAGAATTGTCCAGGTTACAGGAGAAGTACTCATCCTCATGCAGAGTATATAGTTTCCAAGAACTTGCTTCTGCAACTGCTAACTTCTCGCCTGGTTTGTTTTCTTTGCATTAACTTTCCTGTCCCTATCATGGTTCCGATTACTTCTTTTGTTTGGGATATATTTTAATGAAATCTAATAATGTTTTCAGATAATTTGGTTGGCAAAGGTGGCAGTAGCTATGTTTATAAAGGATGTCTTCTAGATGGCAAGGTGGTGGCCGTAAAAATTTTGAAGCCATCAGAAGATGTGTTCAAAGAGTTTCAGCTGGAAATTGAGATCATCACAACTTTGCATCATGAGAACATAATATCTTTATCTGGGTTTTCTTTTGACGACAATAACTTGCTTTTGGTTTATGATTTTCTATCAAGAGGAAGCCTAGAAGAGAACATTCATGGTAGATATCTATTTGGTCTTGCCTGCTCGGAATTACATAATCATCATGTCTCCAATTTCTTTCTTACTCGTGTATTTTGTTGAAGGTGATAAGAAGGACTGTAATGTATTTGGCTGGCAAGAGAGGTATAAAGTGGCTGTGGGCGTTGCTGAGGCACTGAACTTTCTGCATAATGGCTGTGCATATGCTGTGATTCACAGGGATGTAAAATCTTCAAACATCCTTCTTTCAGATAATTTTGAGCCTCAGGTGCTGTAGTTACCTTTTTTCCATTGATTGATTATGTTCCTTTTTGAATTTATTACACTTGATTCTTATTTGTCATCAGCTCTCCGATTTTGGGCTTGCCAGTTGGGGTTCTTCTTCATCCCACGTTACTTGTACTGATGTGGCTGGAACCTTTGGGTGTGTATCATGTCCTCTAAATCCTCTCTGGACTGGTCAACTTTAAATGTTTCATGTTTCAGAACATTTTCTTTTCTGGCAGATACCTGGCTCCAGAGTACTTTATGCATGGTAGGGTAACTGACAGAATCGATGTATATGCTTTTGGTGTTGTGCTTCTTGAGCTTCTTTCTAGCAGGAAGCCCATCAATAACGAATCCCCTAAGGGCCAGGAGAGTCTTGTGATGTGGGTAAGCTTTTCTGCTGTGTTAAATAATAATTGGAACGTCTACCAAACAACCAAAATAATAATTGAATATCCTATGAGATCTGGTCGTAGTATATCAAAGTGTTGAGAATGAATGCGATTGTGACAATATCCAGGCAAGACCAATTCTAAAGGATGGAAAGCTCTCACAATTGCTTGATTCAAGCGTTGGCGATCCTCAAGAGTGGCTAATTGACAGAATGGCTTTGGCTGCTACCCTTTGCCTCCGACGATCACCTAAATCTCGACCTCAAATCGACATTGTGAGTCTCCTCTGTTCAATTCTGCCACATCCTTATTGTCACGCCTCTTTTTTTTTTTTTTTTTTTGTTGCCGCGAAGTTACAGTCTGATGATGTTTCTTGAGAGCAGATATTGAAACTTCTGCATGGTGATGAGGAAGTGACAAGTTGGGCAAAACAAGAAGTCGGTGCACCAGAAGAACTTGAAGCGTCTGATGGGGGACTGAATAATATTCAGTCCCATTTGAACCTTGCTTTGCTGGACCTGGACGATGATACAGCTTCTGTCAGTAGCTCTGAGCAGAGTGTCTCGTTGGAGGACTATTTACAAGGAAGATGGAGTCGCTCCTCAAGTTTTGATTAAGCAATTCATGGTAGCACTAACTTCAAAGCAACTATTTCTTTCCAAACTTTTTATGTTATCCTGTGCCTTTCCCCTCCCTAGTTTAGATTTTGAAAGATCCTGCTGACTGGGTCTTGGAAGAGAGGTCCCAATAAGAGTATATAGCCCCCTCCTTGACTTTGTAGCTCTGCCTGGGTTCATCATAATTCTCCGAGATGAGTTAATGAGTCCAGTCCCACGTGTCATAAAAGCTTGCAATCGTATTCCAAGTTTCCGCGGGCTATTTTGTTGGCCGCTTGAGAGTTGAGAACCATGAAGAGTGTGTATACTTGGTCTCCTCTGATGTGGCATGCCCATTTTCTCTTTTCTTTATCTTTCGGGCAACCATTAGTTCTTTTTTTTTTTTTGGTTTAAAGCTTCTCACACAAAGATACGAGAAAGCGCAGCCTTTTTTATTCTGTTATGGTATAAAATTTTCCTTGATCACCATGTATTCAGTGCACAGGATATTGATAAATTGGTACACATGAATGAAGAAGTTGCACCCTGCACAAATATGCAACATGATTGAGATCAAAAGCTTGAAAAAACATGTTTTTTTCCTGGCTGGTACCACCGCATTTTCTAGTTTGAAAAGGCAAAAACTTGAGAAACTAGACTATAAGCACGATCACAAATCATTCAACGTCAAGCTTGCTTAATAAAAATTAGTGAGGCTTGGCTTGTTAAGTTGTTATTAATTAATTATATTAGTTTATAATTAAGCCACACACAGGTCAACTATAATAAAAGCTATTGCCATTGCAAAATTTTACTCCCCCCAAATCGCAATATAGAGTATTTTTTTTAAAACCCCATTTGATTCAAAATACAGGAATTTCAATTATACTTTTATTTTATTATTTTCCACTCAAGTAACTAAAGGTGTTTTGAATAAATCAAAATATTATATTCACTTTTTGAATAGCAAAAACTGACCAAAAAATGCACCACCTTTGACAAAAATGCACAAGAGACTGCCTTATCTTGCCACATGAAAGTAATCATTTGGCAATTTTCTGTCTACAAGGCAGCCAAAACAGAGCACGGCTCGATCCATTCAATTTCAAGTTCTCTTAATAATGATCTACACATTCAATACCCTTTGAAATTCTCCAGTTATATCATCCAAATCAATCACTTCTCTTTCTTCCATCTTCAATTTGCTGAGCTCCGAATTTAGCTCGGCAAGCCGCTGCTGTAGTTTTTCTCCCCTATCAGGTAATCTAGAAATCATTGCCTGCAATGGTTTATATAGCAGGGAGGCATCAATTGTGAACTGATTCAATGCAAAGCACATAATGTCATGATTCGCCAATATTTCAGATGTGAAGTTGACATGAACCAACCAATCCTCACTAAACTACCATTGATTGATTGTTTCCGATCTAACAAGAACATAATAATACCTTATTTGCTAGTGTTTGAGAAATCCGTTTGATTTTATCCCTGATTTCAGACTCAGTCAATTTACCAGCGCTATTTGGGGAAGAGCCTTTCTTGTTCAATTTGACTTCCTTTGGATTGAAAGCAAACTCAGCTCTGACCAAATAAAAAATAGGTTAAATAAACAAGGTCAGACCATAGATCAAAAGAAAAAAAAAGTTTGAGTGGGGGAGGAATCGATCTAATATCCGTATGACGATGAATAATTACCCATCAACAGGACGTCAAGGGAAGTTGATGCTGACGCTCCCAGCATAAAAAGAAGCTCATCACGCAGCATTGTTTAATTAAGCAATTAGTTAACATAATACTATGGTCCAAAAGAAGCCAATTCAAGAAAGAATATTTTGCATATTTTAACAGTACATCATCCATAATCCATAAAGTAAAATAAAATTATAACATCCAAGAGCATTAGCAAGATTTCAGCATTACATCTTGTGAAAAAGAACAAAGCACCCACATGGGAAGCATATCCTAATAACTATGTATTGTTTTTCCCTTGGCACTTCATCATCCCCAGGTGCATCATGGACTGGTGCTGTTTGGAAAAAAGAGAAACTGTGGTGACTAACTCCACCTATGCCTTGACTTTTCAAGAACTCTATGTGTGCTTTAAACGAGTCCTCCCTGAACAACACAAATACAAAAGTCCAAAATCAGAAAGCTACATGCAGCACTCTATTGCTTCGACAGTATGCTCAGATTTGAAACTCATACACTGTATCTTCACAAGCATGCTCCTCCTCTAATTGCTTCTGAGTAACAGACACATCAAAACCCTCCTTTGGGAGACTGAAAAGCTTCGGAGATCCTGAAAAGGATGACTGAAGAAGTTATTACATTGCACCACACGCTAGTCAAAGATGTTCTCAGCATACATTAGAAATAAGCAATACTCTCACTACACTTGTACCTGCTGGCTGAAGTACCGAATTTGCTCTTTATGGCTCTGTTGCCGTTTGAAACAATCCCCCTTGTATACCTGAAAATCAAATAATCAGAGTGTCATGGATTGAATCAAAATCTAAACAAAGAGAACTACAAATAAATGAGATTCACTCAAAACTAAATCCGAAGTAATATTAAGTTTTCTATCTTCCTCATTACCATAGATCAATAATTGGTACATCAAAGTAAAAGGTTGAAATTTACCTGCTTCCTGTATATTTTTTCTTCAACGGTTCCGCATGTCATTAAT